TGGAGGGAGGGTGATTGGAGGGATCACTTCTATGGTTTATCTTACAAGGGTACAAGTAAATCTTTCTAAGAGTAGAATATGAACATCTTAACACAATAACTAAGAAAATGACATGAAGGCTATGTTAACTAGTTTGATGAAAATATTTCAAATTGTATGTGAAAACACCACACTGTATCCCAGAATTGCATTAATGTACATAGTTGTCATTTAATTAAAAAAATAAAAAGGCTGTTAAAATGATAATGATCCATTATTGGGCTAACTGCTTTCTAATCAATGACATCCTCAGCCCCCACCTCATTCTTCCCTTGCTTCCTAAGATATACAAATGCAGAAATGCCCCAGTTCTTTGATGGTATCCATTCCAAGACTGTTCCTGGCTCCCTTAATCCCTTAAAATGACCCAGTACAAACCCAAATCCTCTAAACCCCTTTCAACTCTCTCTGAGACTGCTCAAAGTCCCCACAAATATAGTTTCTTTTGCTGCAGCAAGCTAAAAACACCTAATGGCTTTTGCTACATAGCTCTGTTCTTAGTGGTCTTAGGTCTGAGGCCTTAACAACTGTTAGGCCACAATGAATTAGTGAAAAAACATTCCACAAAGAGGGAACTTAGACACAAAGATCCCATACAAGGGCAAGTGAGGTAGCTCACACTAGTAATCCTAGCACTCCAGGAGGCCAAGGCAGGTGGATTGCCGGAGCTCACAGGTTTGAGACCAACCTGAGCTAGAATGAGACCCTGTCTCTAAGAATAGCCAGGCATGGTGGTGGGTGGCCGTAGTCTGAGCTACTAAGGAGGCTGAGGCAAAGAGAATTGCTCAAACAACTCAGAGAATTGCTCGAGCAACTCTTGAGCTCTCTGGCTTGAGCCCAAGAGTTGGAGGTTGCTGTGAGCTATGACGCCACAGCACTCTACCAAGGGTGACAAAGTGAGACTCTGTCTGGAAAAAAAGAGATCCCATAGGAAGAAAAAGTTGACATGTACTGAACCGAAACTGTTTTTAGAAGTAATAGTAAATGGAAATACAGATTCTGGACCTGGAACAATTGGCTAGCCATATAGAAAAAAAAAATTGGATCTCTACCACACTATACAAAAACCCAATCAGTTGGCTTGGCACCTATAGCTCAGCAGCTAGAGCACCAGCCATATACACTAGAGCTGGCGGGTTAGAATCCAGTCCAGG